GATGCCACATTTTCCGCCTCTTCAAATGAAGACGGATGCACACGGAAGACTTCCATTCTGGCCACGCCAGTGCGGAGGCCTTTCATAGAGACGGTCACTGTGACCGCCTACGGAAGAAGATCTGCTGCCATTCAGGCAATGAGAGTGCGCATCTCTTGGACAAAGTCCACCAACATCTTTTTGGCCTGTCGGGCGGCATGGAAACGCGATCACACGCGATACGCCTGATTAGGCGGCGAGAACACTCGTGAGAGCTGCAATTTCAGCTCTGCCCAGGAAGGAAACGCAGCTCCGACCGAAGTGCCGCACATCAGTGCCCATTCTCGCGCCCGACCATCGAGCTTTGAGATGGCTAGCGCTACGCGCAGTTGCTCGGTCTGGAGCATGGCGGATGCGATGGCCATCTCGACCTCTCTCACCCAGAGTAGGAGATTCTCTCCATCCTTCCCCTCAAGGACCTTAACGCTTACAATGAGCAGCTTAGGGAAGGAAAAGTCATCCGTTACTGGCGGTGGTGTCATAGACGCAAATGAAGTAGACATCTTCTGCTGCAGGTGCTCTAGCAGCGCGTTTTCGTAATTTGAAAAAACGCCTCAAGACGTGCAGCGATTGTCTCGGGGCCTTGCGCAGCAAGGTGCTGCACGCCCTCAGGGTCAAGCAAGGACATCAGCTTATTAAGCCCGTCCTGCATAGCCTGGGGCAAAGAGAAATTTTTTTCCATCCTCACAGAGGGTCAGTCTAAACAACTCAGGTGTAGATTGACTACAAGTGCCACCAAGTGCAGCGGGGCTGCCGTATCTTTGCGCCTAGAGGAAGCGTAAGTTAGGTCACCGACCTTTCGTTCTATACTTAAAGCAAACACGAGTCTAGCGGATCGCAATCCGCTTACTCAAAGAGTAATAAAACCTCAACCCAAGGCTACTTAACTCTTCCGTTTAAATTCAAATACCGACTTTATTTATTTTTATCTGCGGCAAAGCCGCCTAATTCTAAAAGCATAGATTATCTATATTTGTGTAGTAAAATCTAAATACGTGTATAACTACTGGCTATCCAGCCCCGTACCGTATTTGTGAGGGGATTACACGAACTTAATAACGAGGGTGTGTGCGTGTCACACGAGATGTGCATAATGTGACCACACATCCAAACAAGAATACGGGACGGAGCTAGGTAGCCAGTAGTTTTACATGCATTTAGATTTTACTATATATATTTAGTATATTTAGAAAAATCTGAACGTTCAACATTAGAATAAAAATTCCAGTTTCAATCTTGAACAGAAGTGTTCGTTTGACTTGGTTAAGGCTTTTAAGCATTTTTAGAGGCTATCCGCTGCACTAGAACTTGGATCTTGTAAGGAACGAATGATCGGGGACCTAAAGACGCTTCCCCAAGCGCAAAGCTACGGCAGCCCTGCTGCACTTGGTGGCACTTGTAGTCAATCTACACCTGAGTCGTTTAGACTGATCCTCTGTGAGGATGGAACAATTTCCCTCTTTGCCCCAGGCTATGCAGGACGGGCGTAATAAGCTGATGTCCTTGCTTGGCCCTGAGGGTGTGCAACACCTTGTGGCACAAGGCCCCGAGGTAATCGGTGCGCGTCTAGAGGCGTTTTCGAGTTACAAAAACGCGCTGCTAGAGCGAGCACCGACAGCAGAAGATGTCTGCATCGTTTGCGTCTACGACGCCACCGCCGGTGACGGATGACTTCTTATCGACCTAAGCTGCTCATGGTAAGCGTTAAGGTCTTTGAGGGGAGGGTTGGAGGGAATCTCCTACTCTGGGTGAGAGAGGTCAAGATAGCCATCGCATCCGCCATGCTCCAGACCGAGCAACTGTGCGTGGCGCTAGCCATCTCAA